CATTTCTAGCTGGATCTGACGAAGAAATCCTTAAGACTTTCCTGGAAGATTCGGGAATCGGTTCCGCATAATGGTCACGTTGCTCCATCTCGATATCACGTCGTCGTCGATAATCTTGGATATCCGAAACGGTATCAAACTCCCTACGACGATCCGCATCATCCCTTTCATTAGCTGATATTCTGGTTGAATGAAAAATTGGTTCCGAATCCTCAGGCCGATCGACAATGAAAGTCCTGCGAGACTCCTCGCGTGGCGATCTTAGATCTTGACGAGGACTTTTGGGAAATCGTGCGCAATCACATACACTATTTCTCTGATCATCGACTTTTTTACGTCTTCTCGATGTATCTTTTATGATGCGATCCAAAGAACAGCCATTCCGCTTTATCGGTCTAACAACGGGGCCGACCAAGTGATACTCGTTGTCCAATAATTCCATGACAAATCTATTACGATGTTGTGATTGTTATTGATTTCCAGTAAATAGTGAAAAATATTTTTAAGAAATTGAATAGCCAAAAAAAAATACCCCTGTATCATCAATTTGTTAACAAGCTATTATTTCTGAAACTAAGGAAGCGTACTATTTATTAGGACACCAAGGAAAAAAAGAAGAAAAAATATCAAATCTACTTAGAGCGTCTGTCTTTATTTTATTATTTAATATTTATTTATATAATAATATGTTGAAAACGCAACTCTTTAGCATTTTGGCCGCAGTTTTGCGGGTCAAGTGAATATCTGCCATCTTCTATTGCAGTTTTACAATCGTATCTTTCAAACGTTCGACTTTTGTATATTATATAATACAGCACCATACGAGTCTGCCGTATATAATTAGCACCGAAATATCGGTCGATAGATGAACAGTTTGGTAACAAGATAAGTCGCGCAATAACAGTGAAAAATATTGCCTTGAAAAAAATACAATTGTGGATCTTTCCATAACCGAGAGAATGACAAAAATGTCGTTTGTTAAACTGTATAACATACATAATTTTAGAAACAATGTGTTATAAAGCATAACATAACAGTATATGTATATGTATATGTATTACCCTAATAAAAATCCAATTTAATACTGAAAAATAGTAATATTAATTACTTATTTTAAGTATTACAGGTATTATTGTTCATTTAATAAGTAATAATTAATTATTACTTATTAACACTGATATATATGTATATAAGGATAGTTTAAATGTAAAATAATAAAAATAGAAAATGTGCACACGTAATTTCATACGAGGTATGCATTTCATCCGATCCATTTGACCTTCGGCGAAGCGACGCCGGGAACTAACTAACCCTTGAGAACAGACCTGTCTCAGCGCGGTCCGCACCTGAGCATAAAGATCGCCATTGTAATGATAATGCGAGCGGATGTAGTCGGCGATCTCCTCGGCGCTGAACGTGATCGGCTGGTCCACGTCGCGCTGCAGCAAGCGCATTGCTTCCATCACGCGCAGCGAGAACCTCAACGAAGTCTCCACGCCGCATTTGCACTGCCGGGGAATTTGTGGCGAAAGAAATTTTCTGTCGCTTTGTTCAGTCTCCTTTGTTGCAATCGAATATAATAGACTGTCACGATTAATGTGATTCAATTTAACGTCAAAATTGTAATGACATGCATTAAGCTATTTTCACGAATATCTATAATATTCTTGAATCATCTATACATATATTTGACAGCACGCTGTTTTACTGATATACAAAAAAAATATAGATTTGACTTGTGATATAATTTCTTTCTATATAAAGTGAGATCTTGAGATCGCGTTGACTAACAAACTTTAAAAACGAGCGATTAAACTAATTGTATTATTAGACGAATAAAAGATACTCTTTGCACGTAACTTACTTCCTTAGGCGTATCGTCTAATTTCTCGCAACCTCCTGGACAAGCTTCATCTCCTGTCGCAAAATCATTTTCCTGATCTTCATTAAGAATTTCATCGATTATCGCATTGACTTTTTTTTCTACTTGTCTAGCATTCATCTCATTGTCAATTTAATCGATTCGAAAGGTTAGTGGAAAATATCATTGAAACATGTATGTCTGAAACTGAGCATTCTGAAGTTTCAAAAGAGTAAAAGCTACATTTATGTATAATGCGATTGATCAATCAATGAATTAAAAAACTCGCCTTATCTCATAACATGAAAACATATCATTCTCAATATATCAAAAATTATAACGCATATACGATAATATTAAGGTATAATAATATGATATAATATAATATAAAAAATGTGCGGTTTTTTTTTTCAGATGTCTGCACTACTTCAGCTCGTGCGCTAAACTGGAGATCCACAGTGAAGATTGTGGAGAATTGAACGATTGTGCGAATCAGACTACCGAACGAGGACGACAAGCGGTTGAATTTTGGCAACCATTGCAGGAAGGAGCGCGTCCCATTCATTGTCTACGCCGATTTAGAGTGCGCTTTGAAAAAGATGGATAGAAATCCTGAATCAGTACGTATCAACATCATAACGTGTTTAGCATTGGGTATTATGTGCATTGTTCTTACGACGATATATTATCATTGTATCGTTTTCGTCGCGATAAAGGCTGCATCGCATGATTCGCGGAAGAATTTAAACAGTTAGCATATAGTGTACAGTCCATAATTTTGGCTAACTTACCCATGGCAGATTTCACGCGAGATATTATAACTGGGAAAAATTTAACAACGCTAAGCACTGCCACGTATGCGAGGAACCGTTCGTGCCAGACGGTACACGAGTACGCGATCATTGTCATTTAACAATACAGAAACCCCGCACACTCAAACTGCATTGTAAATTATTTAGAAGGATTCGCGTTGCATACCTGTAGTATTTCACAATCATTATCTGACTATGTACATCTCCGGATAATATTGGACACAGTCTTCGTAATGTGATCCTGCGACTAACTATTGTTCTTTTATCACTATTTTATGTAATGAAGAGGACCCGCAGCGAGGGTCGAAACGTTTACCACTTTTGATTAATAAAGATTTGATTGTACCGACACACACCGATATCCTGTGTTGGCCCATTTATACATCACTAGATTTAATCTTTGGGTCTTATTACTATTTGGGTCTGTTCAATATAATATTATATAGTTTATCATAAATATTTAATATAAATTATACATTTCATAATTTGATACTTGATTTATAAACCGCGCATGTTGAAATCTCCAATTTTGAAAACGACTTTTATGCTCGGATTCTTCTGTGATGTTAATTTCGAAAGATTTGGATAAAGCTACGAGTTGAATAAAGTTTCCTCGCTAGGACTCGCGGTCCCTGTATCGATTCGCAATCGAAATAACGCCACGAGAAGGTGCTACGGTCAAGGGGCGTAAATAGGGTGTATAGAGAAAAAAGTAGGAGGAGCAGCCGACTTGGCGTAGGTTACCGGGAGTGCATACGTGAAATATTAATAAGCGGGCAGCTCGGTGAACGTGACTGCGTTGTACGCGGAAGTGCTTTTGCACGTTATCGGTATATTCCTCGGCTTTCTCCACTAGATGCTATAGGTACTCATGCTGTGTACAAATTACAAATCGCCATTCCGCGCACATGAATGCAATAGACACTTATACTCGTACACACGATAGATTCGATAATTATAAAATTATATACGCTATCACACTATTTTTACTTTAACAACATCGCAATTTCTTCTCTCATGCTTTGGGATTTTATGAAAAGATTCCATTCATGCCACCATCAATCCGTGTATGATGTCGAAGATATCTGAAAAAAAATGCTTCATTCTCAAATTTTTTAACGCAAGGAGAGATATCCTCGTATTTTATCACGAATTAATATAATACTATTACGAACGTATAATATTATTTTTTATCGTTTTTTAATCTCACTGAGATTGCAGTAATTTGTTACCAAATAAATTAGATATTGGGAAGAAAATAATCGGGGAGAAACATAATTTTCAGTTTCCGATTTGTAGTTTAGACAAAAAATTGATTGGTTTGTGTCCATTCTACGAATTGTAACGCCCATTACTAAAACCTATTAGTTATTAACCAGTTATTAACTACACACGCAGTTAATAACACTTAATTGTATTATTAAAAAAAAAAATTTACAAATTGTACCCTCCAACCTCCCTTGCAATAACAGCCATTATTACGGCTCGAGAAACAGCTCGCGATAAAAATAAGATTACGCGGGCGAAGCGCAGGTGAATCGGGAGAAGAGGTGAGACTCGCGGCGCGAATCGGACTTGGCAGGCACCACGCTCCACTTTTTCCTCAACGGAGGGACGATGAGGCGCTGGTGTGGGCGATTCCGCTTGTTGTTTCGCGCCATTTCCGATAAGAACGTAGCCGGGCCGGCCAAGAATTACCTGGATGAGTGCGCGGAAGGATAAGAATAACGGTGCCGGCGCGGTAAGCCGCAATTTGCCAACGGCCTGGGAACTGAAGGGCTGTGGATGGCCTGCCGTGCCCTCTAACGGGGGCAAATAGTCTAAATGAAAAAGACCCCTGATGCCCCTCATGTAGGTGCAATCTACGTTGCTTGAAGCACGTCGTCGTTCGATAGGAAAAAAAAAAAAAAAAAAAAAAAAAAAAAACTGGCGATCTCTTTCTCGTTCGCCAACTATCTCTTCTCAGCTACGATTTATCAATCTGCACTTAACGTAGATACGCACTTATCTGGATAATGATCCTTTCTCGAAAATGACAATTTAAACTTCGAACTCTAAGGCTTGCGGTATTAATAGTCGGCTCTTACATTTAAGACTTAGAGTCCTAAGTACAATCCTAAGATGTTGTTAGCCAATCACAGAGCTGTATTAGTATTTTAAATTATTAGTTCAGACGATCTTAAAATAAGAATCGATCGTAGATACTGGCCTATAAGCCTATATGAGTCGATTTCTTTCTTCAGTGGCAGGTAACACGTCGAACGCGGGCATTGAAGTCTACTTGCGAATCTTTGCATTAACTTAATGCCGCTATATTCTGATTGAATATATGCAATTAATAAAGGAACAATACGAAAAGAAAATGAAAGAGACTTATCTATATATAATATACATAGATAAATGGATAATCTTTTCGCGATCAATTAAACTACGTCTATCCAATAACTTTTCGAAAATTAAACGCCGAATTATAATTAAGCAAATCGTACCGTGCCGTAGATACTTTGATGAATTTTTCCGCCGAAACACCGCTAATTAGTTAAGTCCTGATAACGATTCTGCGGTTCTGAGTGGGCGCGGAACGAACGCGAGATTATAAATACCCGGCGGAGCCGCAAAAGTAAGAAAAGTTTAATCAGGACTTGGAGGAAGAGAGGGAGGGCCAGAAGAGGGAAAGAAGAAGGGAAGGGAAGGGAAGAGAAGCGTCCTCGTGACGACTTGATGAGATAACTTTGCCCAAGTTGTGAAACAACGGGCGTCACGATACGTGACTTCGTGCGAGGGTGAAAGGAGAATCCGTGCTCCCTATATCGTGTATTGGGGTGAGGGGGTGAGGGCGGAATGAGACTAAAGGGCCAGACACGCGACCACCTTGGATACCGACCGCCCTGTCCTGTTCCTGAGGTGTATGACGACGATCGTATATACGGCACGTTTACGATGCGTGAGAGGTGACTTCCTTCCGTTTCGTGCGATGAAACGGAGCGCATTTTTGCGTGCGAAAATGCCTGTAAACTCTTCAGCGTTGGTACGGGGTGCTAACAACAGTCCACGTGACATTTCGTGTACCATAAATAAGTTTGGGCAATATTATCGCGAGCATTTGACACGAAATATATCAATCAATGTAAAAGCGTTAAAATAAATAGGACTGCTCTTGCACAAATATTTTATGTATATAGTTCTTCAAGACGCAATGTTATGTCCTGAGGAGAGAAGAGTGCACTGAACTTGACAAACAATCTACGAAATAAAAATAAAATCACCTGACTCAGAAATCCTTAATGTAATACGTACAAAGGACATTTGCACGTACGTCGTGAGCCGTCCGAGGGACGTCGATTAGACCGATTACCGTCGGGGTCGTCGGGGGTGGGTTCGGGGATGCGTTTCGCCAATTCGCCGGCTCATCACGTGACGTGATGTCACGTTACCTGGTGGTCGCCGACAGGTGTTCAGGCTCGCACGAGGTCCGATCGCGAGCAAGGACTAGGCGCGGAAATACGGCCCGTTATCGGTACAAATCCAGCTACATAATGGTAATGATCAGTATATCCGAGCAACAGACGACAAGATATATATATAATAAAAACAGTCTCTCTCCAAATAAAAAAATGCGAACGCCTTTCCGTGACGTCTACAAGACTCTATGAGACTCGATTAGACGTCTAAAGACAGAAAAGCGCGGAAAGATCTTGGGATGTCTCTTTGAAGGGATATAAATCCAGATTCCAAAATAGAAATAAAAGGGGTAAATGGCGTCTCGTAAAGTACAGAAAATTATATATATATATATATAATATATACGGACGGAAGCGACGTTACTTGAACGTGCGTTTAATTTCTCTCAGCAGCGCACGCTGAACTCGCTTGAGAGGGACATACGATTGTTTCGAAGGCGCCTGTAATTGCGGCGCCGTGGGATCACGACCACGTGGCACCGGTCCTCCGCCTCGCCCTTTCCTTCCCCGCGTCCACCCCGCGGCTCGTCGCTCCCTTCCGCAGTAAATTAGATATTACGATACTAAATGACGTTATTTAACCCGCGACCGTGCGTGCCCTACCACCGGGAGGTTGAATTGTGCGGGTCTATGACATTGTTGCGCGAGCAACGCGCAGGTGTACATACATACAACAAAGTCGCTCGCAATCATCGCGATCTTCGCGATTGCATTTAGAATGATATTCCTATTTAAAATAAATAACAATAAATAAGGGTAAAGTAAGAGTCAAACACACATTTTTTAAATTGTCACACAATCAAAAAGAATAAATTACGAATAAAGAAAAGTGAAATTGGAAAAAATAATAAAAAATACTCAGTTCAAATTCAAATATTACAAGTTTCGGCTACCGGATTGAGCCCTCGTCAGACATTAACTCGTA